TCTGTGCAGTTCAGGCTCGCCTTGAGCTCACTTTCTAGACCAGACTGGCTTCAAACTCACAACGATCCTCCTGCCTCAGCCTCCCTGGTGCTGGGATTACACGTGTGCGCTACCACCCCCAGCTTAAATGTAACTTTAACCCATCAACATTTACTGAGCACCTGCTGTACGCCGGAGGCATCGGCTAAAGCAGTGCCCCGAACTATCCAGCTCTCCGTCCCTGTGATGCCCGTTTGGCAGTGAGGCACAGAGGGCAAACAGGTGAACAGATCTGAGCTTTGCTTTTCCACGTGGAAGAGCTGTTAGGTCAGCGAAGCAGAGTGATGGGAAAGGAGAAGAAACCTTAGGCCTTTAGGGGCCAAGAACGCACAGGTGGAGCCCGAAGAACAGGGAGAGGCGGCCACGCTGGGAAGACTCGCTTCAGGAAGGTGGACCACAAAGACCGGGAGGCGCAAAAGACCCGCGTCCTGGTACCTCAGCCACACCGTGGGTGCCCGTCACACACATCCCACCGGTGAGTCTGCCTGGACTCCTCCTGGGGCTCCCTAGCTCCCTGGCGATCGAACCCAAGCTCCTCAGCCCTGGGCCAAGCGGGATTTGGCTGACCCTGGAACACGGACGCCTCCCCTGCTGCCCTCAGCGACTGTCACTACGGGCCGGCCCCGCCCTCAGCCCTGCCCGCGCCCACATCTTCTTCCCATTGGGCAGAGCGCGGAACATCGGGCGCTGGTTGGCTGATGTGAGTATCCGTCAGTATCCAGGCCTTTATAACCCTCGTCCCGGAGCTTCGAGGGGGCGGGCACAGGCGCGGGCGCGGCCGGGGCTGCGGCTTCAGGTAAAGCGCCAGCTTTTGGGGATCACGTACGGGGGAGCTGGGGGGATCCAGAGGATGCGGGGATGGGCGGGTTCGGTGCCTCCAACTCTTCGCGGGCTGGGCGCGCTGCACGAGGTGGGCACATTGTCCTGGGACCCCACCGGGAGCGCCAGGTGGGTGGTGAGCCGGGAGGGGGCCTCTGGGTTGTGGAGATCGCCCTCCTTTCCACCCTGCAGGCGCCCACGGGGGATTATGCGCCTCCCAGCGCTCCAACCGGCTATGCGGACCCATGCCCAGGGCGGCTCAGGGCGCCTGGGGGACCCGCGTCCTTCCTTCCCGCGCCGGGCTGGGTGCGGGATGGGGAGGCGGGGATGAGGAAACGGAGTCGGGGGAGGGACGGCCGCCAGGACCCGGGGACAATGGGCAGCGGATGGGACCGCCCAGCGGCGCTTCCTGGAGGAAACTGCCCTGTCTCTGCGAAGCTGATCCGCCGGGTGCGTGGGGGTGCTGATCTGAGCACCCCTCTTTGCAGACGCCCTCCTCCCTCTCCATCCCCACCCCAGGGCTCTGAGAGTCCCCCCCACACGGTGACGGGAGCCACCACCTAGGGCCTCAGGCTGGGCAGGCATCCCCCGCACCCCCACGCCCACGTCCCTTACCCCTCTGTTTCATGATCACAGCTTCACTGCCCGAAATAGTCCCGGGGGCGGGAGTGGGTGCGTGTGGTGTCGCTTCTGACGACCTAATGAGGGGCCCCCAGGCAGAGGATGCGGAGCTGGTGGTGACAGCCGGGAAGGGTGCGGAGGAGAGGGGAGGACAGCTACACGCCCCCGGCAGGGCCCGACAGGTGCGAGGAGCTGGGCAGAATCGCAGCCGAGGCTCCCACCCCTCCTGGGGCGCGGAAGGGGCTCCCTGTAGCAGGCGGGCAAATGTACGGCCAGGGCAGAGATCCATCTAAGCTGCGTGGGTTCACTTCCTGCCTCAGCCCATCTGTGACCTTGGGCAGGTGGATTAATCCTCCCTGGTCTCAGTTTCTCCATCTGTACAGTGGGGGAAGGGACAGTGATCATAGGAAGGAAAGACAAGCTTCAAAGGTTTAGGTAGGATCAAAAGCAGTTAATATCCAGTTGGATGTGGTGGCGAGCAACTGTGATTCTAGGGCACGGGAGGCTGAGGCAGGAGGATCTCCAAGGTCACAGGTAGCCTGAGTTACAGAGTGAGTTCAAAGCTAGCCCGAAATACATCATGAGACCCTGCCTCAAAAAAATAAACAAAGCAGTTAATATCCATAAATTACATAGCCTAGAAGCTGGCTTATAATAAACAACCGAGGCGTTATGGCACTTTACCATCTCCGGCCCATGCCCCCATTCCTCAGCCCAGTCCCTATGGGCAGCCACTCCTGCTGGTTTAGGTCTTAGGCCTGACTGCAGCTGTTCCCTCCGGCCCAGAGCCCCGGCCAGGTCGCCAGAGGAGGGAGCTGCCCCCACTCAGTCACGCACCAGCTGTGTGGGAGGCAGGGCCCGCTCCCGAAGCACCGGGTCAGGCTTTTTCCAAAAGCCAGCACTTCCTCAGCAGTTTCCTGAAAACAAGCCGTGAGCAGCACTGACTGTCCTTCGTGATGACCTGCTGCCTCGCTGGCCCGTCACTTGCAGCTGGTGCAGGGGAACAGGAAACAGCTGCTCGGGGCCCGGAAGGGGCCCTGCCTGGCCTTGGAGTGGGAAGGAAGCGCCAGGGTTCGGCAGGGGCGGGGAAGGGCTCGGGGTCCCCCCACCCATGGAGCAGGGGCCGAATCAGCAGGCTGATGCCGGTCACACAGGTAGGTGGTCCCCAGGAATCCGAGAGGCTGGTAGGCGTGGTTGGGAGGGTGGCCAGGCGGGCAGTGGGTCAGGGAGAGGATGAACTGGCTCTGGCTGGTGCCAGTGAGAGGTGAGACAGGCAAGAGGGAAGGGAGAAGTTATGGCACGCCCCGGAAGCTGGGCAGAGCCCAATCAGAGAGCTTTTCCCACTTGCAATGATCTTAATTGCTGGGTGCCTTGGTTTCCCTGCCTGTAAAATGTGAACGATCGTATCTACCTCAGACAGTTGTTACGTTTTCAGGCAGGGGACACACTGGTACAAGCTGCTCTCCACTTGCTGAAGGGTTTCCATGTGGGCTGTCCGAAGCTCTGTCTAGCACCCAGTAGGTTTTGTTTTGTTTGTTTGAGATAGGGTCTTGCTCTGTACTTCAGGTTGGACTCAAGGCGACCCTCCTGCCTCAGCCTCCTGAATGTGATTACAGGCATGCACCAACTTGCTCAGCTTTCTGTTCTGCTTTGTTTGACCATGCTAGGGATGGAATGCAGGGCCACACACAGGCTAGGCAAGCGTTCCACCCCAGTCCAGCCCCCGTCTTGTGATTTGGGAACCTAGTTTCTAGACTTAATGCATTCATACCTTTGTCCTCAACAGCTTTGAAACTTTGAATTTAGTACTCAGTGCATTCTGACAGGAGAATTTCATCCCAGTACTCATTGCTTGGTACTTAGTGTGCAAAGTAGAACTTGTGACGGTTGCCCCGGGCCTCAGGATCCTTCCCAGAATTATTGGTTTGGTACTTGTCCAATTAACAAGCCAAGCCAATTAAAAACACGTAAAAGAGGTGCCTCAGCACTTGTCTTTGTTAAGTATCACAGTAGGCTGGGACATGGCTCACTGGGAGAGGGGCTTGTCTGGCATGTCTGAGGCCTTGAATTCTACACCAGCACTGAAAAAACTTGAACTCTTTTTTTTTTGGGGGGGGGGGTTCTCGGGTAACGGGAACTGAACTCACGACCTTGCGCTTGCCAGGCAGGTGCTTTTGCCGCTGAGCTAAATCCCCAGCCCCTGAAAAAACTTACATTACTAGATGTGGCCCAATCCCCTAACTTTCTTAGAACCTCCATCTGTCCCTGGAAGAGTCACCATCCCCCATGCTGCCCGGAGAGCCACAGCTTTGGTCACCTAGATGGGTGTGGCTCCATCACATGCCATACATAAGACTCATGGTGCTCCGCTAGGACACTCTGCAGAGGCAGGTATTTGTTGGCTGCATTTTGGCTGTAGCCAGCACGATCTCCATCATTAGGAAGGTCCCACTTTGTGACCTTGGTTAATATTTCAGATGCACAGGCTGGGCGTGGTGGCACACACTTGTAATCCCAGCACTGAGGAAGCTGAGGCAGGAGGATTGCTGCAAGTTCAAGGCCAGCCTGAACTACATAGTGAGACCCTGTCTCAAAAAGACAAAAAACAAACAAACAAATAAACAAATATTTCAGATACACAACCAGGTATGGTATCATACACCTGTAATCTCAGCAATCGGGAGGCTGAGGCAGGAAGATTGCCATGAGTTTAAGGCCGGCCTAGGCTACACAAAGAAACTGCTGAAAGAAAGAAAGAAAGAAAGAAAGAAAGAAAGAAAGAAAGAAAGAAAGAAAGAATGATAGATAGATTCAGATTTACAATCATATTTTGTCTGGATTTCTCTATGGAAAAAATTCAAGAAATCCTGTTTTTAAAAAAGCACAATCTTGCTGGGTGTGGTAGTGCACCCCTGCAATCCCAGCACTCAAGGAGCTGAGGCAGGAGGATCATTGCAAGTTCGAAACCAGCCTGGGCTACAAAGTGAGCTCAAGGTC